AGTTATGTCTGGATAAGTCCCTGCAGTTTTCTTACACACACACACACGTGTGTGTGTGTGTTGGGGGAGAAAACTACCCTCCTGCCTCCCCAAAATTAAAACAGCTCATTATTTTTTCACATTATTAAACATCTATTACACGGAATACTGATCAGTTTTTTCTTTATGCTGGTGAAGAGAGCCATGTCATATATAGAAAGTCAATAACATATATACTTGCTTATCACATAGAAACCAACACACAAATTTGTAACCAGATTTCAATGGAAAATGATCCATCTGACTCTGGAAATGGCCATATCTTTTAATTTCCACAATTGGCTTATCTATGGATAAATCACAGTTACCCATTGGTCCTGGTATTTTGGTTAAAAATTTGAGATCTATCTTTTTTAAAAATGGGTTTATATACAAGTATATATGGAACACATGAGTACTTTAAAAAGTATTATCATATATATTTGCAAATAAATCTATACATATATAAGCCAATTTTTAGATGTACTTTCGTACCTAAAATTCTCATCTTACCCATAAATGTATATGTCAGCCCCAAGATTATCAATTTAACTTTTTTATTAGCTTATTGAAGTATAAAATACAAAGAAAAAAAAACCATGAAAAAGTAAGAAGAGAGGAAGAAAAAAGAGGGGATATAGTGTAATGGGAGAAAAAAAAAGATTAAACCACCAACTTCCGACTCTCTTTAGGATGGTAGAAGGTAACAACTTTTAAGCCACAACTTTTTGCTTTTACACAGCAGGTAGAAGTCATTTCTATAACAATAAGCCTGTCTAGTTTACAAAAACAGAATCAAAGTTTCATGGTTCTTTTTTTGCTGATTGCAAGCACAAAATCCAGAAGCAATTTCAAAATAGACACAAAATTAGATATAACCTCTGATTTGGATAAAAATAAGATTAATAATCTCTGCTTCTCTTTGTTGTGGGGAATAATGTATAATTCATTCTCATATTTTCAAATCTAGTCCATAATATTTTACCAGCTTTGGAATATTGGTCAGCATTACTTAAAGAACTGGCATACCTGTGTATAAACATACTCATACTGCATAAAACATACTCTTTTATACAAATAAAACAAATTTAATATCCCCAAATCATAATCCTGGCTTCTACTGTTATTCCAATATGAAAGAATGATGGAAAAAATTATACACTCATCCTACAAGTTCCCCCCCCCCCCCACTGATTCTAGGCTAAGACTTAGGGAAAGAGTTTTAAAGGATCACTGAAATAGGTCATTGTGGGGCTGATACTAATTTCTGAATACAAACAGGCACTGAGAAAAAGGAAGGTCTGCTTCCTGAGTCCCATCAGTTAACACAATTTAATTATATGGCATAAGAAAGTAAGTAGGTAGGTAAACTTTATTGTGGTCTTTGACTAACAACTGTACATAAATATATTGTATACACATATATTTAGACAGACACACACACACACTGTGTGTGTGTGTGTGTATGTGTAAATATATGCCTGTGCCTGAAGAGCTTTATCCTGATAGCCAGTACTTTGAACTTCAGCTGAAAGTAACCAGCAGAAATCATGGATCAGAGATGTTACAAGGGCATGCCATGTCGTTTTACAACTGCCCATATTAGACCAGCATATTAGGAAAACTATTGCTGGAGTGCTGTATTGCAGTGTCATTTCTACTGTGCCCTTCTTCTTCAACCATAACAATTTTGGATTACTTTGTATTATAAATTAAAAATAATTCTTTAAGTTTCAAATATTAATATGCAAACATTCCCTGTTAAGAGAAATATAGAACTGCTTCTGTAAAACAACTAGTTTCCATACTAGTTAAAAAGATAAATAATTTAAAATAAGGTGTAGTATTCCAATCATACCACAAGATGGAGATAGATCACCACAATTTATTCATTTATTGCTGGGGGGTCAAGCTTTTTTACTGCAAAAATGGCTTAAAGCTAGTTTAATGAAGACAATGCAAAGTATACAGTAACTGTAAGTATTATATACCATTTAAACTCCAGTTTGTTTAGAGATATAGGTATAAAAGATTACAGTAGAAAAACAGAATAACAGAACAACAGATTTGGAAGGGACCTTGGAAGTTTTATAATCCAACCCCTGCTCAGGCAGGAAACCTTATATCATTTCAGACAAATGGTTGACTCTTCTTAAAACACCCAATATTGGAGCATCCACAACTTCTGGAGACAAGTTGCTGCACTGATTAATTGTTCCAATTGTCAGGAAATTTTTACTTAGTTCTAGATTGCTTGTCTTCTTGATTTCCATCCGTTGCTTCTTGTCCTGCCTTCAGGTGCTTTGGAAAATAGCTTGACTCCCTCTTCTTTATGGCAGCCCCTTAGATATTGGAGCACTGCTATCACATTGCCCCTAGTTCATTTAAAAAAAATTAAATTAGACATACCCAATTCCAGCAATCATTCTTTATATGTTTTAGCCTCCAGTCCAATAATCATCTTTGTTGATCTTCTCTGCACTCTTTTTTATATCATGGCAACCAAAACTGGATCCAGTATTCCAAGTGTGGTATTACCAAGGCATTATAAAGTGGTGTTAACACTTCATGTTATCTTGATAAAATCTCTCTATTAATGTAGCCTAGTATTTGTTGGATTTTGCCAGCTGAAATACACTACTGGCTCATATTTAAATGATTGTCTACTTGGACTCCAGGGTCCTCTCACAGTTTCTATTATTGAGCCAGGTACCACCTATACTTTGTTTTTTCTTGATTAAATGTAGAACCTTACTTTTTTCGCCATTGTATTTCATTTTGGTAATAGGGTCCAATGTTCAAGTCTATCAAGATCCTTCTGTATCTTAAGCCTATCTTCTGGAGTGTTCGCTATTCCTGCCAGCTTAGTGTTATCTGCAAATTTGATGAATTCCCCATCTATCTCCTCATCTAATTAATTGATGAAGATATTGAAGAGTACAGCTTTGGGGTACTGACTGCATGTGTCCATCCATGTAGACACAGTTACATTAGGACTATATGTTGAGTGTGGTTGATCAGCCAGTTATGAATCTATTTGGTGGTGATGCTGTCTAACCAGGGGTGGGATTCAAAATTTTTAACAACTGGTTCTGTGGGCATGGCTTTGGTGGTGGGCGTGGGCTTGGTGGTCATGTGACTGGGTGGACATGGCTTGGTGGTCATGTTATTGGTTTAATCCTGTAAGCCAACTCAATATCATTTATATCGAGGCATGCATCTCCTCACCTGGCCCCTCATGACTGTGGGGATGCAGTCGTAAGTGTGAAAAATGGTCATAAGTCACTTTTTTCAGTGCCATTGTAACTTTAAATGGTCACTCCACACAAGCAAAGTACCAGCAAAGGAGGGGAAAAAAACTCCAGAGATGTTCCTGAGACAGGAAGTCTAGTCCTGCCAAGAATTTAATAAGGGCTAACGGAGAGGCAGTTTCTGTAAGCAACACCAGAATGTTTCCTTCCTGCCTTCCTTACAGGATTAGGCCAGTAATTTCTTCTAACAACCGCTTTCTGAACTGCTTAGAATGTTAACAACTGGTTCTAGCGAATAGGTGCAAACTGGTAGAATCTCACCCCTGTATCTAACCCACATTTTTCTATCTTATCAAATAATACGTTGTGGTCTACTTTATCAAATGCCTTACTAAAGTCCAAGTAAATGATATCCACAGCTTTTGTCTGGTCTACTAATTTTGTCACTTTGTCAAATAGTGCAATAAAATTTGTCTGTTTTTGATCTGATCTCTTTTTGACAAACTCATGTTGGGTTTTAGTTGTGACTTTGTTTGTCTTTAGGTGTTTGCAGATTCATTGTTTGATTATCTTTTCCAGGTATTGATGTCAGGCTGATAGGTCTGTACATTCCTGAATTCATTCCCCCCACTTTTTTTTCCAAGATGGGGCCTTACATCAGCCCTTTTTGCAGTCCTCTGATAGTTCCCTGATGATCCAGGATCTTTGAAAGATATGGTTCAGTGGTTTTGAGATCATGTCTGCCATTGCTTCAGAACTTTGGGGTGTACTCCATCAGGTCCTGGTGATTTGAATATGTCTAGATGGATAGGTGTTCTCTTACCATTTTCTGGCCTATTTTAACTTGTGTTCCTAATCTGTTTTTTATGGTACTGTTTTTGAATAGTTGGGTTAGTTTTTTTCTTTTATGTAAAGACAGATGCAGAAAACAAGTTAAGCAGTTCTGCTTTCTGTCTGTTGCTCATAAAATAAAATAAAAAATATTTATTATACAGCAAATCAAATAATAAATAATAAAATAAAGAAGAATAAATTATTTTTAGGGTTAGAGCTTTAAAAATAAATATATACAATGTAAATAAATCTTAGGGTTAACGCTAAACCCTAACACTGATTCAAGGCTAAAACGTTTCTTATATCTACAGAATTAAGCAAGATGTATTCCATGTGCTGGGATTTCCTTCTTCCCTGAAATTCTAGTGAGTCAGTTCTGAAGCTATGGAAGGATATTAAATTGCATATGTTTATTGCCTCAGTCCAATTTCTCAGAATTCTGCCTCTAGTTAATATATTAACTTCTTATTCAAGAAAAGAAGGAATTGGAATATCTAAGTTATGTCTAAAGACCAAATATATCTCTGTGTGACAGCTGACACATTTTCCTCTTGAAATGTACTGAAACTCAGGTGCTAGTTGTGGCTTTACATATGACTTGATAGTTCATAAGACTTGGTAAATTAAACAAAGAAGAGTGTTCTGTAAGTCAGTTCTTAACTAGAGCAATTATTATGCTAATTGCAATGACTTGATGAATCTCATAAATAATGAAACTGGTCACATATTACATCCTAGTGGTTAAATAATGTATAAAAACATATTCACTAGAACTTGTTATATTTATTTAATCTCAGTGTCATCCTTAAAACAATTCCTACCGAGGTGTTTAGAGTTGGATTTAGTCCAAATAGAAGGGATCAATTCCTGATGTAATGTAAACAAATTAATATAGTGGTACCTTGGTACGCAACTGCTTTGAAATTCATAGAAATTGCTATATTTTTAATGTGCTCATAAATGATCTGGAAATGAGGGAGCATGAGGTAATCGTATTTGATGATAGCATCAAATAATTTAGAATGAGAATGAGAATGAGAATGAGAATAGAATAGAATAGAATAGAATAGAATAGAATAGAATAGGAGAAGAGAGGAGACAAGGTGAGATGAGATGAGATAAAATGAGACGAGAAAGCTGGAAGGGACCTTGGAGATCTTCTAGTCTAGTGTCCTACTCAAGCAGGAGACCCTATACAATTTCAGACAGTCTCTTCTTAAAATCTCTCACAACTGATGAAGCACCAACAACTTCTGAAGGCAAAGCTGTTCCACTGCTTAATTATTATCATTGTTAGGAAGTTTCTCCTTAATTCCAGGAGAATTCCATTTCTTTCATTAGTTTCCATCATTATTTTTTGTCTTGCTCTCTGGTGCTTTGCAAAATAAGTTGACCCCTTCTTTTTGTGGCACCCTCTCAAATACTGGAATACTGCTATCGTGCCACTTGTAGTCTTTCTTTTCTCTAGACTAGCCATACTCAATTCCTGCAACTGTTCTTAATATGTTTTAATCTCCAGGACTTTAATCATTTTAGTTGCTCTTCTTTGCACTTTTTTTTTTCAAAGTCCCAACATCTTTTTTGTGGTGGATACTGGATGCAGTATTCCAGATGTGGTCCTACTAAGGTTTTATAAAGTGGTACTAATACTTCACATTATTTCAATTCTATGCTTCTGTTTGTACAACCAAGGATTATATTAGTTTGTTTGGCTGCTGCCACACACTGCTAGCTCATATTTAAGTGATCATCCACTAGGACTCCAAGGTCCCTCTCACAGTTACTGTTTTTGAGCCAGGTTTCACCTAACATGTACTTGAACCTCTGGTTTCTCCTGCCTAAATGTAAAACTTTGCATTTCTCCACATTAAATTCCATTTTGTTGAATAGTGCCATTGTTCAAATCTGCCAAGATCCTTTTGGATCCTGAGCTTGTCTTCTGGGGTGTTGCCTATTTCTGCCAGCTTAGTGTCATCTTCAAATGTGATAAGTTTCCCTTCCAGTCTCTCATTTCAATCATTTATGGAAATATTGAAAAGTATGGGGTCTAAGATGGAATCTTGTGGTACCCCACAGCTTACTTTCCTCCATATAGATGTAGTACCATAATACACATTGAGTATATTTTGTTAGCCAGTTACAAATCCAATTGAGAATGTTGATGTGTTCCAAAGAATCTCTCATAATACATATTATATCTCTTGTATTACATATTATAAATATGTATTAAAATATTTAGACAATGAAACTAAATGGTATAACAAATCGCTTAAAATTGCTATCACAAGGTGGTCATCATGGCATCATATGGAGAGGTTCAGAAGGGTACTAGACAAATTCATTAATGATAAATCTACTGGAAACTGCTTCTAATTGAAGTATAAATAACAGAGGAGCAGGCTTCTTGAAATCAGTTGCAGAGAAAACTGAGTGCAAGGCTAGGTAGAAGAGAACAAACAGTATAGTTTCAGGTCAATCCAAATAAATATAACAGTAATAACAGCATTCCCAAACACAGTGATATAGTAAAACAAATGATACAATTAAATAAATATTTACTTCAGTGTCTAAAAAGCAAAACAATTCAGCTTATCAACATTGACTCTGAATTGAGATTGAGAGCAAGAACTGTTTATTTCAAGCCACTGTCAATAGTGGCTTGAAATATAGTCAAATCCATATCTCTCTCTGATCAATAATCTATTTTGCATTTGCTGTAGAAAAAAATATGCATGTGGAAGAATGTATTACATTTAGCCAAGAATAGTTTGTTTGTATTCATTATTACGATTTACTATAATTTGAGGCAATTCTATCCTATTTACTTTGACATGCTAAAACAGAAAAATAACCAAGCATTCTTTGCATGTTTAAGTTTTAACATTTTTGTTTTCAGAAACTTATAAGGTTGACTCAGCCTTCCATCCTTCCACTGTGAGTAAAATGAGAACCCAAATTGTTGGGGGCAATATGCTGATTCTGTAAACCTCTTAGAAAGGGCTGTAAAGCTCTGTGAAGTGGTATATAAGTCTAAGTGGTATTGCTATAAAAGAAAACCTCTTTCATTCACATGTAATTACTTTTCATAAACTATTATTACTATTATTTTTCATAAACTATTAATTTGATATTCCTTTCTCTTTACTTGCTATGGTCTGATACTTATGACCAAATTTTTATTTTTAGAGCTAATGCATTATTTTTACAATGTGCTTGATTTTTCAGGTCATTTCACAGCAATGGTTTGGAAGAACACAAAAAAGATGGGAGTTGGAAAAGCAGCTGCAAGTGATGGCTCCACATTTGTAGTGGCTAGATATGAACCTGCTGGCAACATTGTAAACTCTGGGCAATATGAACAAAATGTTTTTCCTCCAAAAAAATAATAATCTATATGAAAAGGAGGTTGTTTTCAATAGGTTATAAAAAGAAAATTGGGAGTTCACCTGATTACGTTGGATAAACCACTGTTGAATGGTACTTTAGTCTTTTAATGATTATTTCAAGAAATGTTTAATGAAGAAGTAGTTCTGCCTACAAAATTAATTTTTGTACAGAACCATTCCTGAAACACAATGAAAGATACAGTGAAAACACTGAAAGACAATGACAAAAGCCAACATATGGAACATACATATCAAGAAATGTAAGAGCAAAATATATTAAAATAACAGTATAAAAATTATAATATTTTGATATTAAAATTTGCAAATATGTTTTAGAGTGTTTATATAATTTCATATTTGTACATAATCCCTTCCTTAAAATATATTTGCAAACTTTAATATCAAATTATTATATTTTAATACTGTTATTTCAATATATTATATTTTCAAGGATTTCTAAAAAGAGGAAAGACTGATTTTATTTGCCTACAAATACTATTCATCCCCATAGGGGTTGATTGTGTGGCAACAGTTTTAAATACGCTAGTCTGAATGCATATGAAAAATAGCAAATGTCCTAACATAAATTGCATGAAACTATTTATCTGGTGCATCCATCCAGTGTTTGTAGATAAGCATGGACTGGCATAGTAGGTTGTAGGCATTCAGAAAATATAACTATTTTCACAGAGCATAGAACCATTGGACTCTCATCTGACTTGTTTTTGCTTTTATATAAAATGCAAGGACAGATTAAACGAATAGTTTCATTTAGAAGTTTACTGAAGCTTACAGAATTACTATTTCTCTCACCCTCTTTTTACATTGCGAAGACTTTGTATCAGTGCAGCATATGGAGAGTGTGAGGCTCCTATTAGGGACAGCTGACAAGACTGAGAAATCGGTTGGTAGTGTCTGCACCATCTGAATAATGCAGTTGATGCTTCCATTGCCACAATAGTCATGGCTTTTGCTTAGAAGTCACACTTTTAAAAGAAATTTTTAAAAAGACTTTAAAAGGTTGAAAAATTTAAACTCTCCTGGTTAGGATAAACAGATGTTAAAATGAATATATTACCCATGACATTTTTTTTAAAAAATTGAAATGCAACCAATTTTATTCCCATATAAAACTTTTCAAGACTGGAAAAAACATTCAATAGATTTATATGGAATGGGAGAAAACCTGAAATAAATTTTAAGATTTTACAAGATGGACCCAATTAGCAAAACAAAGCTCAGGACCATATTGGTTGGAAACATATGAAAAAGCCCTTCGTGTAGTGGATAGATAATGCTCTAATGGATAGACAATGCTCTAGTGAATAGACAATGGCTAAAATGATGATGATGATGATGATGGTGATGATGATATTCTTCCATTCAATCCTGTCTTGTTTTTGGAGACTGCCTGAACAAGCCCTGCAATTTTCTTGGCAAAATTTATCAGAAGTAGCTTGCCATTGATTCCTTCTTAAGGTTGAGAAAAAGTGACTGGTCCAGAGCTCTAAATGGCGTGGGTCCAGACTATTTGAGGAGCCATCTCACTCCAATAAGACTAACTTGCCCCACCCACTCCAGTGGAAGATGCCCATTGGCCAAGAAATTCCAGCTAGCAATGTCAAAGGGAAGAGCCTTTTCTACTGTGGCCCCAGCCCTATGAATCATTCTACGATCAGAAGCAAGAACTGTTCCAACTCTTCAAGCATTTCAGAAGGGTATTAAAACCTGATTTTTGCCAGTTGCTATATGAGGTGTTCACTGCTGGAAGTGATTGACAGAATAAGAAGAAATCTCATCCCAATGTTGTTTGTTTACTTGGTTTTAGTTTTTATATAATGTTTACATTTTTAAATTGTTTTTATACTTTTTTAAAAAAAATTGTAAGCCACCCAGAGTCACCTTATCATTGAGAGGGGAAAAGTATAAATACAATAAACAAACAAATAAAAAATAAACAAATAAATAGTCACAAATAATAGGACTTTGTGTCCAAGGCTGGGCTAGAACTCCTCTCCTGATTTCTAGCCTGATGTGTTAACTACTGCACCAAACTGGCTGTCTAAACTGGCTGTCTAATATTGTGTAATATGGTATAACATAGTATACATATTACTTATCACAGATAACAGAATTGAGAAAATGACCAAATCATAGAATATCAGTTTCTCTCAGACCTAAGCCCAAAGACAACACCGTGGAATCCAATAAAGTTGATAACCGCATTACTAGGCTTAGAGATTGAAGAGTCTAGCCCTTTTATAACCTCAAGTGACTTCCCAAGCACCAACTCATAAGGAGAGATCTCCATATCATTCATAGATCTAGTCTACAAGGGGAACAAGGCTACAGGCTGGATTTGGGGGCACTGATAAATGCTTCTCCTGACAAAGTTTATCATGTAGTGTTTTTAGCATCCTGTTAACTCACTGGGCTTCCCTAATGGCTGCAGGTTGTAAGGGGTATGTCAGTTTTGGGTGTCACACAAGGCTTATAGAATGTGTGAAATGATCTGAAAAACAAAATGTTTCCTTCAATCCATGTCCAATGTGCTAGATATCCCAAATCATGGCCTAATATCCTTTAGGAGGTAGTGAGCAGTTTCAATGGCTGTAGCATGTCAGCAAGAAGCTCACTATTATCAGTGAAACTCACTGTTATCCAGTGAGTTGATCTCTACACAGAATAATGTACTGGAAGCCACAAACTTCTCCAAATCTTAGAGCAGAGGTGTAACTGTCTCTCCTTACCAATGAGCGCAAAAAAAAATAAAAAAAAAAATCTACAAAATCCTAAATAGGCACAGAATTGCACCCACCAGAAAAAGTGTGGATGGAGAAAAGACTGTACTTAAAGAGAATAATTTATTTGGATGCAAAATTTTTACTCTGGTGAGCTCAGGTGAATGATATGACTGTCTGCATTCTTTGTTGGGGAGACTGTCTGCATTCTTTGTTACGCCAAAGAGAGAGAGGTGACAAATCACACCAACTCTGTATTTACTCTTTCTTTTGCTTTATCAACTGCAAAGTTATGACTATAATTGATTTTTTTTAAATTCAGTATAACTTCAAAGTTTTTTTTTAATATTAAGAGCTGCATACTTTTAAGATTATACTTTTTGAAATCAATTGAATGCAATTTGTGTACAAAGATTTTTTTCCTCGAACCATAAATGCAGATTATAATCACTGAATTTATATGAATGAACTAAATATGAATTTCTATGTACTGAATGATCTGAATAAACCGAATGATCATTTCCAGAGTCTGGCTGCTACAGAACCTCTGATTGTTGCAAGGCAAGGCTTTGTTACTACTAACCATAAAGCAAAACTGCAAATTTAAGTAAGGCTGCAAGTGTATTAGAATAGCTAAACTGTGATTTATGAGGACTGTAGAACTCTGCTCTAAGCTGGCCATAAGATACCACAGTTTCTGTTTTTCTGCAATTATTACTCCAACCTAGAAATAATACACCCAGTTTCTATTTCTCTACAATTATGATTCTACCCTGTGAATGATAAAACTGTAAAGACTGCAACATTTTAATGGAAAGAACCTCTTCAGTATTATTGCAAAGTACTGTTTTTTTTTAAGTAATTGTTTATATTAACTACAAGCTGATATTTCCTTTTTTTTCCATTTTAGCTGAGCTTTTAAGTATTTTTCTTTTCATTGTTTTATTCATTTGTCAGTCCTTTATACATCTGTGGATTACAACCTATATCTAGTTTAATGCATTTAAATTCTACGTCCACATTAATCGCAAGCAGAACTAAAAGACTAACATTTAAAAATAGAAATTTTTAGTTTAATTATTTTGCAAAAGAATATTTTAATTAATTTTTTTTGGACTTTTTGAAAATGAAGTATTTAATTTTATATCAGAAGGAACATTATCAAGCAATCCAGTGACAGCAGGAAAAATAGCCTGGACTCTCCCCCCCTGTTCCTCTCCCCCAAAGGCTGATGTATAGTTGGTGTATAGGAGATTCAGAGAGGAACAGAACCAGCATTTTGTAGAATGGACAAGGAGCAAAAATCAAAGATGTGACAGAGAGCCTTCCTAAAATAATCACACTCACAGATGTTTATCCCTTTCTTTTCTTCCATGTGGGGACAAGTATGACAATGAACCTAAAAACAATATAAAGATGAAAGCCAGAGAGTTATAGATGGTGTTTCCTTTTTTCTTTTTATATGTTTTTATTAAGTTTCTAATTTTCAACATAAAACATCATAGTTTCAACAACATTCTTGACATCTATACACATTCTTATAAGTATCTTAACACATTGTATTTATATTTATCTAATATTAATTAATAACTTTAACTATAATCATTATTTCTATATTCTTACATAATTTACATTTTACATTCTTAAGGTTTCTTACAATTAAGTTTCTTGTCTTAATTTTTTTGTTCTGTTTGCTAACCAATCATACCATTTATTCCAGATTAGGTAATAATCACAGTCATCTCTTTCTTTCAATTTCAACTTTAACATATTCATTTTGGCACTTTCTGTTACTTTTTGTAATATCAGTTCTTCTTTAGGAACAGTAGGAGTTTTCCATACCTGTGCAAAAGCTATTCTGTCGACTGTTGTGATATGTAACAATAAATATTTTATTTCTTTTGGTATTCTATCTTTAATCATTCCTAAAAGGAAGGTTTGTGGTCTGAGCTCGATCTGATAACCAGTAATCTCTTGAAGCCAGTTTTTAATTTGAATCCAGAATGTCCTAGTCTCAGGGCATAGCCAAATAGGTGGTGTTTTCATCTGTAGTTCCAACAAAAGATCAACCAATGAGGGAATAAAGATTTTTAGAAATAAAACACTGGCTTAAGGGATGGTGCCACTGAAATACCTTGAGGTTCACTGGTCTACAATGAAATAATTTGAGGTTCACTGGTCTACATTACCTACATGAGGTGCTTTTGTCAGGTAATGGGCTGCACCTCACAAGAAAACAACTAGGTCAGCTTATCCAAAAGGCTAAGGCTAAAACTGAGAGGGAGGGGGATCTAATCCCAACCATAAACCCCAAGACAACCAAACAAGGAGACAGGTAGTGGTGGAAAGAAAGGAAAAGTCAGATATAAATGAGATGTAGGAAGCATACCCAGGGTCAGCCATAAAGGACTCAATGCTCAAAATGCTCAAAATTGAGGAACAAAGGTGACCTTGAAGTACTAATACATGAGGATAGATATGATATAATGGTAATTACCAAACTTTATGGGATGAAATTCACAACAGGAATGTAAAGTGGAAAGGATACAAAAAGTTCAAAAGAAACAGATTTAACAAATAGGTGGGGGAATTGCATTACATGTAAGAAATGCATAAAACCAAGGATGAAAGACTCCTTGAATATATATGGCTTAATATAAAAGGGGGAAAAAAGAATAACATTACCATTGGTATATTCTACAGGCTACTCAAGCAAGCAAACAGAATCTTTGCAGGAAACATACCACAATAGTAATAGAGGACTTCAATTACCCTGACATCAACAGGGAGACAAGCTCTGCATCAAGTGGGGGATCAAATAAGTGCCTGACAAACCCAGCTGACAAGCCCAACTTTGTCAGCCAAAAAGTAGAGGCGGAAACTAAAGATGAAATGATATAGGGGGTTGAAATCGTGAGAACTTTAACAGATTTAACAGATAAACAGAGTTGTAAGGGACCCTGTAGGTCATCTAGTCCAAACCCCCGCCCAAGCGGGAGACCCTACACCATTTCTGACAGATGGCAGTCCAATCTCTTCTTGAAAGTTTCAAGTGATGGCACTCCCACAACTTCCGAGGGCAAGCTGTTCCATTGGTTGATTATTCTCACTGTCAGAAAGTTTCTCCTTATTTCCAGGTTAAATCTCTCCTTGTTCAGTTTCCATCCATTATTCCTTGTCTGGCCTACAGGTGCTTTAGAAAATAGCTTGACCCCTTCCTCTCTGTGGCAGCCCCTCAAATATTGGAAGACCGCTATCAAGTCTCCCCTGGTCCTTCTCTTTACTAGACTAGCCAAGCCCAGTTCCTGCAACTGTTCATTGTATGTTTTAGCCTCCAGTCCCCTAATCATCCTGGTTGCTCTTCTCTATACTTTTTCTAGAGTCTCAACATTTTTTTTTATAATGTGATAGACAAAACTGGATGCAGTATTCTAGGTGTGGTCTTACTAAGGCTTTATAAACTTGTATTAGTACTTCCCTTGATCTTGATTGTATCCCTCTGTTAATACAATTTAGGATTACGTTAGCTTTTTTGGCTGCTGTTGCACACTGCTGGCTCATATTTAGGTGGTTGTCCACTAAGGCTCCAAGATGCCTCTCAGTTACTGCTATTGAGCCTGGTTTCACCCAGTCTATATGTGTACCTCTGGTTTTTCTTGCCTAAGTGTAGGACTTTACTTTTCTCTACATTGAATTTCATTTTCTTAGATATGGCCCAGTGCTCTAGTCTGCCAAGATCCATCTTCTTGGATGTTAGCTATTCCTGCCAGCTTAGTATCATCTGCAAATTTGGTAAGTTCCCCTTCTATTCCCTCATCTAAGTCGTTAATGAAGATATTGAAGAGTACTGGGCCTAAGACGGAACCTTGTAGACTTAGACCATTAAGGACTACTCATTGAGTACGGTTTGCCAGCCAGTTGCAAGTCCATCTAGTGGTGGTGCTATCTATTCCACTTTTTTCTAGCTTACTAAGAAGTAAGTTGTGGTCTACTTTGTCGAATGCCTTGCTGAAATCTAAATATATTATGTCCACAGTATTTTGCTGGTCTACTAATTTAGTCACTGTGTTGAAGAATGAAATAAGATTGGTTTGGCATGATCTGTTTTTAACAAACCCGTACTGCTAGTTATTACTTTACTTGTTTCTAGATGTTGGCAGATCTGTTTTTTTTTATTATCTTTTTCTTGTTATTTATATGTTGGAAGAAAGTTTTTTTATTATCTTTGACTTTTGTTGCAAGTCTTTGTTTGTTCTGAGTCTTTGCTATCCTGATTTTATCTTTGCAGATTCTGGCTATCTGCTGATATTTTGCCTTATTTGTATGTCCTTCTTTCCATTTTTTGTACTTGTCCTTTTTTTCTTTCAATTTGCCAGAGAGATCTTTGTGCAGCCATGCTGGTTTCTTCTTGGATTTCTTGTTTTTCTTTCTCAGTGGTATTGTGCTGGTCTGGGCTTCTGTGATCATACTTTTTAGAGTTTTCCCAAGATTCTTGAGTTGTTTTCCCCTTTAGGATTTTCATCCATGGAATCTTTCCCAAGTTCTCTCTGAGTTTATTGAAATCAGCTCTTTTAAAATCCAAGACTCTGGTGTCATGATGTTCTGTTGCTTGTGTTTGTGTTATGTTGAATTCTACTATGACATGGTCCCTCTCACCCAAGGTTCCTGCAGTTTCAACTCCCTCTATCACTTCTAACTTTGGTGGAGAATTGACCCTGTCATATTGGAATTAAATGTAATGCAGAAACAATCATTGTACATTATGCAATGAACATTGCACAGGTCAGAAGAAGGGCTGAGAGATATCTGCAGATTCCTTACATCTTGGACATAAACAATTTCAACTCCTTTCCTTGGAGCAATACTATAGAGCATTGTATGCCAAAACAACTAGACATGGACAGTTTTCCCCCCGCGCCATCACTCTGCTGAACACTTAATACTCCCAGTGCTGCCTAATGTCTACTAACCCATGTAGCAGGACTGTAGTATTATTTGTTATCCTACTTATTGTCTTCTTTACTATCCTTTTATTGGTATTATTATTATGGTTCATGAATTGAAAGACAAAAGGGGCAAGTATAAAAATGGAAGGAGGGACACATAACTACCATATAACCAGAATTTGCAAAAATGAAGTCAGGAAAGCTAAGGCTCATAATCAACTAAGACTTGCATCAAATGTCAATAATAGTAATAAAAAAATATTTCAACATGTAAAAAATATCAGACAAATGGAAAAGAGCTGACATGGTTCTTAAATCAGTGGACATAGTATATCTAGATTTCAGTAAAGCATTTGATAAAGTAGACCACAACCTACTTCTTGGCAAGCTAGTAAAATGTAGGATCACCACCACCACCAGCAGCTAGATTTGTGCCTGGCTGACAAATCATACGCATCATGTAGTTCTCAATGGAGCTATGTCTACTTGGAAGGAAGGAAGCAGTGGGGTACCCCAAGGTTTTGTTTTAGGCCCAGTACTCTTCAATATCTTCATAAACAATCCAGACAAGGAAATTAAATGAGGAACTCATCAAATTTCAAATGACACTAAGCTGGCAGGAATAGCTAACTTCCCAAGCTCAAGATCCAAAAAGAATTAAATAAAATTAAATATGATATATCTGACAAGGCAAAAAAGCAAGAATAAGTCTGAAATTGTTGCAAGATTCCAAAAAGAGAGGGAATTTTGGGTGGCCAGAATGGGAGTTGTACTATCAAGCTTTACTTGGATGAAAGAATGGATTAATTTGAGGCATAAAAGGCTATTAATTTTAGATGGACATGATCTCCAGTTGGGTTAGCATGCTTTTCTTTGGTATGGGGAAAAACAAAATATTTCCAAAGACACTATATTAGAAATGCATTATTAACAGTTTGGGCAAAAATTAATGAACAACACTATTTGAAAATACCAATTTGGCTCTCCACAATGGAGGCATTGATACATCCAAATATTATCAATATGGAAAAATTATAGGATATAGAGATATTTTGAATGAAAAGGAGGAACTGAGTAATCAAGGGATTGATATA